GTGTGAGATATTTGCGGCTTTGTCGGGGCCGCTCGCGAGTTGAACACATGCTAGCTTGACGGGCTTTTTGAGGAGGGAGCTGGCGTTGGAGGCCATGGTCCGTAGGTAGCTCTGGGGCAGGAGGCGGGCTGTTGGAGGGGTTTGAACTGTTTTGAGGATCTTGAGGTTGGTGAGAGTGGTGAGAGTCCGCCAGATCGCCTTCATCGTCGCCCAAGCATGGGCTACGGTGAAATTGCGTGAGGGGCAGTCGACTTGGGTGCCGGTGGTGAGCTCCGAGTGCGGGCGATAAGAGCTCTATCGGACGCGCAGGGCAGGGGTCTATAGGGCCTGGGTGGTGACGATGCGTATCATGAGACATCATGATCAGCCTCTACACTTTTAACACGAGCCGATCTTCTATCTGCCAATGAAACACGTAGGTAGGTAGGTACCTAGATGAAGTATTTATATAGTCCCTAAGACTCCTACATAGGTGAATATCTTAACGATACCAGACCTTGTCTCCTGTAAAGTGATCTTTGCAAACGCCAGCAATATTCGCGCCGTGGCTTCCTTGAAGAAACAAAGCCCGTTTGAACATATCAGGCCTGAAAGTCCTCAGGTGTGTAATATGGCCGTCCCTTAATGCACGAAATGCCGCATGAGTGCTCCAGAGCGCCCGTGTTGCTCCTTCCTATTCAGTGGAGGCAGCAACTCCATCGTGGCTCCTTCCTATGCGTATGACAGAGCACATGAGAATATGCAGCTGTTTAAGAGATAAGTTCTCAAGTTCCACGGCTCCTCTGAATAGTATCGTTTCTTCAACACTCCTTGCTTGGACTCATCCCGGCTCACAGCCATAGTCGCCAGCATGAACTGGACTGAGGGGGCATTGGTCCGCCACTCTCGACCTGGCAAGGGACGGGAGGTCCTCCTACGCCAAAAAGAGTATTTCGCAAGAGTCCGCGCTGGTGTCCCCAATGCCAACGTCAAGACCAGCCCCCCCTCAATTTCTTTCTTGGCACATCCAGCGCTTTCATCTCCTGCCCGTCATCGTTCTTCGACTTCCAAGACCTCGGCTCCTTCTTCCTCCAAGAAACGCACTCTGAATCATGACCCCTTCAAGACCAGTGGCAGTCACTACTCGCCGAATGATGACGACCTGAAGCTCCCAACCGCTGCCGACTTCCAGGAGGTCCAGGTCAAGGAGGAGGCTCTCCGCCAGAAGAGACGCAAGCTGCTCCTCAAGGGTGACTGGACCGGCATCAGTCTACAAAAGCCTATCGAGATGGAGTCTTCCAAGCCACGAACATCTCGTGGTGGTCCATGGAGCTATTCGAAATCGCGGCATGCGAAGTCCAAAAGCAGGATGCGCCATGTGCTTGGCATTAAGTGCGATGCCGCACAGGCGGCGAGACATCCAAAAGTAATGTTTAAGACCACAGGACCAACCTCGCCCGTGCAGATGAGAATTCGTGTTGGTAGCCGTGAGAGAGTCTTTGGCGGCAGCTCCAACGTCAGTCCTCAAAGCAGGACCTGTAGAGATGTTGAATCAAGCCTTCAAGGTACGTGTGATGTCAACGCCTCTCAATGATTTTTGGTCTAATGTGGTACTTAGTCTCTCACGACCCGGAGTCGACTCACAACGACACGCAGCTAGCACAGACGCACCAGGACAATACACATAATTCCGGGGCCAAACATCAGTCCCCGAAGTGGCCAGAGCTCCACCAGCCTTTTCCACAACGGCCCTTCCTCCCATCGCTCTTTCGCTCGCCAACAAGCGATTTCGACGATGCAGCAAGCACCACTGCCCAAGTTGGAGTCCTCCAGCCTGAAATTCCAGCCTCCCTCGCGGCAAAGAATGAGACATGGTGGAGATTTGTTGGTGGAGAAGCACGCACTCACTATGCCAGTGACCTTCAGCCTACTGACTGCGAAACACCAGTGGTGCAGAGGGAGATATCGCCCGGAATCAGCCAGCTCGACGTGCCAAAGACCGTCGGTGATGCAGATGGAGAGGTCGGTATTGTTGGAACACCAAAAGTTCCCAACGACCAGATCGACGGGCATCTCGGAGCTTCTACACAGAGACAGAAGGATGTTCTGCAATTTCACGAGCTTGATTCCTTCTTCGTCGGAGTCTCCGAAGATGCTGAACTTCATCCTACTGATGACGAGGCCAGCTCATCAAGTATGGGGTCAGGACCTGTTCCATTCATGGACAGTTTGAAGACTGGGGAAAATGTGGCGTTCGAGCATCAGCCTGGCCTTCCCGATGCCGATGACGTGCCCGATGTCGATGATGTGTCGATGCAGGTGATGTCTGCCTCTTGCAGTCCAGCTGCAGTAAAATTGCTTCCACAACTTCGCGACGACACGAATTTAGGGGATCACGTCGACGATGTCGACGCGAGAGATGTACTGCCAGGACCCTATCTGCCCGAGGGCGACCGAGAACTCGTCAAGCTCCCTCATCTACAGAAAGATGTGGTGACGGACCAAGGGCTGTCCAAGCCTTCCAATACCAAGAAAGATGATAGTGACATGTGGAGAGATTTCATTCTTGATGATTATGACAAAAAATTTCAGGAAGCTTTCGAGGAGGCAAGGAAAGAGACAGCAAGAAATCTACAGCCTTCTGATCCACCTACCAGCACTGGTGACGATGGAGGCAGTGAGACTTCGCGCCTGGATCAAGAGCCTTCAAAGACGAATGCAGCCTTGCACATCGACCCCTATTTTGATGTAAACAACTTCACTGAACAGTACGGTTCTTCATCAACCGAGACCTCTACTGTGGCGCCCGTTAGTCATATAGCCACTTTCGGACACTCGTCGTCTGACCCTCTCGGTGGGCCCGACCCGGCACATTCATGTAGCGGAGCTTCTGTCGGGCGCTCTTCCCCTGACCTTCTCTGTGCGCCCAATCCAGCAGGTCTGTTCATCAGAGCCAACGTTGCATCTTCGCCTGACCCTCTCTCTGCGCCGGCATCCGCGTATTCATCGGATAGGATAGTACAGACCGGGGCTGTTGAATCTTCGCGTTCGCCAAAGAACGCCTCGCTGAAACTTGCGGACGAGATCCTCAGCCGGAGTGATCCTTGGCCTCTCGTCACAGGTGGGCAAGATAATACATCTCTTGTCGCTCATCCATCATCCCTTGCTGAGCACAGCGAAGCCGGCGAAACTTTCAGATTCGCACGCCCCAAGCCCTTTGTGGGTAGAAAGAAGGCTCATCTGAATGAGCAACGACAAATCGCGTTGTCCGCACCACGAATTCGGGGCAAAGGTATGACCAGGCGTCGGCAGAAGCGGACTAAAGATGGACGAGCAAGTATCCGTCAGGTGCCCAGCTTTAGTAGCGATCCCATAGAAGAGGTCGAGGATGCTCTGCCAGTCAAAGAAGCGCAAAAGCCTTCGCTTTTTGGGTCGCTCGACACGGATGAGGGTTTGTGTTGAAAGGTTGATGTGGTCGTAATTTTCTTGGCGCTCTCTGAAGCTTCTTTGCTCCATCCCGTGTCATCTGGCCTTGGCGGTAATGACCTTCACAAATGGTATGGTAGCTGCATTCTAACATCGGATGAAACAATCTACCTTGGTCTCACAGGACTTGTAGTCGCTCCAACGCAAAGAAACATAAACAGGATGAAATTCCGATGGTCGTACTGTACCAAAGCTTGTCGTGTGGTATCAGCTACGCTCGGACACCCAGAAAGGCGCGTCTACGCGATATGCCAACAAACTTTCTGTCAGTACACGTGTCGCGCCTTTGAAGTCTTCATCGTGGATAATGACTTGGCTCATTCGTTTTTTGATGCATCCTCTGGCGTCTGCAGGTCTCACACATCATGAGTCGTTTCTTTGTTGATCTCGCCCCAGAAACTGCCCAGCTCCGTTATCACAGGGATCCATTCGCTCCGGCCGTATCTTCTGAAATACTAGGACGCCCCATGAACCGAAAGAACACTTGACTGAAGATTTGCACTTTTTTTCTTACTCCTAGTCCACTACTTGTCCCAGGGCATAGCGAACATTTCGGAATAATCAAGAAGACTTTACGTCTGGCTGCATCAGCGATCGCAAAGCCCGCTGCCCACCAAGCGCTCTGGAAACCTCGAGAGTCTCAACGTAAACAGAAGAAAGAAAGCGTCGCCACAATGATCGACTTCATCTTTCAAGTCGACCTCTCCACGGTCTACATTATTCACCGTCGAGACTATGCCTCACCTATCGACAAGAGTGGTATCTCTACCTTACCTCTTGGCGGGCGATTTTACTACACCGCTGCCGAGGCCAACGCCGCGGCGCGTTCGTACTGCATGCGGGAGGCGTCAAAGGCCGGGACAAGCGGCGCGGTGCATGGTGAGAAGGAGAGCCTGTACCGAGGCGCATGCATGGTGAGAGAGCAAGGAAGGGAGAAGTTCGAAGTCATTGTGCGAAAGCTGCGGGCTTCGGGGAATGGAGGAGGGGCGATGAGAGGGGAGAGTCGTGGGAGTGTGATGGTTGGCACGGGGAGGGCTGAAAGCAGGAGAAGTAGCTGGAGCGAGAGGGGGCCAGGAAGCGCGGAGAGTGTACTTTTGGGTTCGGGGAGCAGGAGTGGTGAGATGGCGGGTAAAAGGCTGAGTCTGGGTGACAAGCGGCCTGGGACGGGAAACCTCATGGCGGTTGAGGAGGAACAGGACTCGACGGAGACGAGTGAGAGTGCTCGGGAGAGAAGAGGGAGCCGAATTGGGAGGTTGTGGGGCTCTCTTCGGAGGAAGTGAAGACCACGACACTTTGTATGTGAGGATTGTGCTTCGATATTGGTGAATAAATGGTGGCTGATGGTGAAAGGGTCAACATGTCCAGGGAATTAAAGGTTCAGAACCAGGTAACACTCTTGAATGCCTTGTTGCTCACTTTTTCCGGTACGTGTGCTCCATATTTATCAACGTTGAATCCAGATGTGGAACCCCCCTGGACTTCCACGCCAAGTCATAAGCCTTCAACTAACACAATTACTCATCAATCACATAACCGCGCAAATGGTTTAGTGGTAAAATCCATCGTTGCCATTCCAACAACGAATACTCGATGGGCCCCCGGTTCGATTCCGGGTTTGCGCAGTCTTTCTGTTCTTTTAATTATACTTTTTTGCTCTCTCTCTCTCTCTCTCCAAGATTTTTTTAAAAAAAAGGGGGAAGGGGGGAGGGGGCCTTTTCTTTTATTTGTTTATTGACTAACCAACCCCCCCCCAAACCTTGCCCGTGATCGTTCGGTCGTTCGGTCGTTCGGTCGTTCGGTCGTTGTTTCTTTCATACGTATCGATATGGACAACGGCATTCACGTCTCCAGCGCCAGCACCTCGGGCAAACCTGTGCGAGGTACCACGAGTCAGCTTCTATATTCATAAGATTTGATGGCGAAACGAATTTCGACCTGCTTTGGAGGAGGACATCATGCATTTTCGTGAACGGGCTCCGGTTCGACAATGTTGCCGGCAGCTTGACCTTGGGCCGGCGGGTATGCTGTAGACATTTCAGGCTGCCCTGCACCGTAACCCGCGTGTGTACCTCTCCGGTGGCGGCGGTGGCGGCGCGGATGATGGTCATAGGGAGGGTATTCATATACTGTGCGGTTTGGTATATGTGCTCTATTGGCCCCGTCGCCAGGATGGGTGTGAGGCGCACTCGTACCGTCCCAGTACGAAACATCGACGTAGGTATCATCTTCTGAGGGTGACTCAAACATCCAGACGTATATACTGCGGAGGAAGGAGGCGGCACTGATGATAGGGGGAATCAACTGCGCGGCGGTGTCGAGGTTGTTGACGCCGTTGATATTGTTCCAAGAGATGACGAGCTCAATGGCAGTAGTGACGATGGCCGCGACGATGACATCTGAGATTGTCCTAATCTGCTGTAATGCCTCGATACGGTGATGTGAGATTCTGTCGAGTTCTGTAAGCCTTCTTGTTCGCTTCTTCTAAACCTTGTCGCAAAGGCGAGGAAACAAGGGAATGGCTACCTCCATTTGCTCTTCTTCCTTCGACACCCGTCGAACAAGCCAATCCAGCGGCTGAACAGCCAGGTGCCCACGGTGAGCATCGCAACATGTAGGACAATATTGACGGCGGTGAGAGCCGGACTGTCAAGCGGCAGCTGGCCAAGGAGAAAGCCGTACTGTTGACAGCTTGTATCAGTTCCTGGCGGTCTGACGTAGACACCGGAGCACCAGAACCAGATTTGCAAGCCCAAAAGTATGGCAAACATGATTGCCATGGCCGTCCTGAAGAGCCAGCCCAATTTCATCCTCGTCCATCGCTCAGGATCCCACCACGGTTGGCAACACGTTAGAACTCTCCAGAGAAAGACGGGTATCAGGAAATACAATGTGCCGCACAGAATGAGCAGAACAACGTATATTTCGGCTGGCTGGAGAACCTCGATATTCAGAGCCAGTCCGATGGAAGTGGCGAGGATGGTGAGCCCGTTCAAGAATTTGAAGTTGAGGGCATCAGATTCGGAAATCCAGCACGCGATGATCATGGCGAACCATTGAAGGTAGAACGAGATCCTGATACCGAGTCCATACGTATCTGGATGGCCTGGAATTTGACAAGCTGCCATCTTAGTGCATAGAGTACGATGTTCCGGCCATGAGGCTGAGACCCAAGAGCGAGTAGCAGGTGGTCAAGAACCTCCAGTCCCGCCTTTCCTCGCAGACAGCTGATAGCATCCGCATTAAGTAAACGTGTGCCGTCGGGCACGAGCCTCATCCTACACTCTGCACACATATTCTGTAGTGATAAGGCTGTGCCATAGTCGCACGCTTTGGCGCAGTGATCACGTCCGACGTCGGTCCCCAGCCCACACGGCTTTATACCAGCGGCAAGCAGCACACATCCACAGAAAGACGCTATCCCGCAGTGTGCAGCTACCGGCATCGACCGAGGAGGTCGGAGAGGAGGGGGCTCGGGTGGGTGATGTAGTCGAGCCACGTTCAGATTGTCCTCTGATTGGGTGCGTCGCACTGCAGGCTGTGCCGTTCTGACAGCTCGCCCACGTTTCGCTTGAAATCTGTACCGCGTGAGGCATGATTTTAGTGGCGCCATTCACGCACTCACGCCGGGCCACTTGGACAAGAAGCCAGGGGCGCGGGCTACGTAGGTATGCAGGCGAAAGAAAAGGTGCAATTGTATTGTGTCCTGACCGAGATGTTCCCATGGTGACAGAGATCTGTCAGCATGACGCCAAACCACAGACCAGTGACGAGGTGCGTCCAATTTTCCACGTGTACGAATGAAAGTCAGGAACCAATATCCAGGCCAAAAGTGAGGCGAGGGCGGGAAAAAGGCCCACCGGGAGGAGGTGGGG